CGCGGGCTGCGGCCGTGGGGGCGCCTTCTCCGGGGAGCTGGGGAATGGGGGCGGCCGGGCCAGTGAGGCTGTTGCACCTGCGCCCCGGGAACGCGCCAACGCCGGTTCCTAGCAGACGGGCCTGGGGGCGACGCCAGTCACGTGGCAGGGAGCGCCTCGGCCCGGCCCGCCGCCGCCCCCAGACCCAGGGCAGCCGGGTGGGGGCGGCGGCCGCCCGCAGGCCCGGCAGAGGCCCTCTGAGCGCGGCTCTGGAAGGTGACCGCGCCAAACACCCTGGGAAACCATCCCCTGGGCAGTGCGGTACCGAGGCCGCAGGGAGGCCCGAGCCGCGAGCCTCGTCCACAATACACAGGACCCCCCCACAACCCGCCGCCCGCCCCAGAACGCGCAGCGCCCCGGACTACCCGCAGGGGGAGGGGGGGCGGCAGGCCGCTGGCAGGTGAGCCGGCGCCCCCCACCCACCAGGGCCCTGCCTCGGCTCCTGACAGCTGTCGCAGGGGTGCAGGGGCGCACCTGGTTTTGGGGGACAAAAACCGAATGGCGTTCTTGAGTCAACTCGGGGCATCAAGTTAGCGTAAGGGGGCCCTCCTGGGGAGCGGCAGCTCGCCCCAAGCCCCAGCAGTCCTCCGGGGAAACCGCGGCCTGAGAGCGGTCCTCAGAGCGTCCGTGGCTTTGTCTTGCCGGCGCCTTTCTAAAGGCCCACGGCCGCGTGGCCGTGACTTGTCCAGAAGACACAAGACACCGAGCAGCGGGGGCCTGAGACCACACCGGGCCCAGCAGAGCGTGGGGCCCCGCCAGCTGGCCGCACCTCATCTGTGCCCTGAGCCCCCAGCCTCTGGCGGGCCTGCCCCACTCTCCCCTGCAGAGCCCGAGTTATGAGATGCTCTGCTGGGGCGGGGGGGGGGGGGGGGGGGCTCCCCCCAGTGACCTCCCCCTGTGAAGGGAGCCCCCTGAACCTCGAGGGCACTGCCTCTGGAAGAGACCTCAGTGGACTGGTCAGCTCCAGGAAGGCTGTCCGGACACAGCCCTTCCCGCCCGGCCTGCCGCCAGCGAGGCATGCGTCTGCCGTGGGACGGGCAGGTGGCTCCGGGTCAGGGGAAGTGGCCTGGGTGCCGGCCCCCGCCTTCTCAGTCCTTCAGTCAGGTGGTGAAGGGGGGCTGTGTGCACCCACCGGGACGAGTACCTCCTGCTGTGAGGTGAGGGGTTCCGGCCCCCTGCCCCTCCGAGGGGGAGGAGCCGGGCCGGGGACACGCGGCCAGGGCTGGGGACAGCACCCGGCGGCGGCGCAGGACGGGCGGGGGCC